CCATACGACGCCTTTTGAACAGATGATTATTACCATCACTCTTGGGACACACCCTATCAAAATGTTTGCAATATGCACAAACGACTGGCATCTAACCCTGTTTCGGCCCCATCTGGGTGTCCTTAACTGACCCCGAGCTTCTGCTTTGTTTCTGTCGAATGACTTGTCCACTTTGGACATTTTTTTCATGCACTTTCTCCTGGTCTTTATCGCCGATCAGGACCTGAAGGTATCTCTGTTTTCTCTTCGAAAGCTGAAGAGTACTCCAGTTAAATTGTTAGACAGATCTGGTCCAAAAAGTGTTTAGAGGCAAGCTGTCGTACTTGGCTGAAGAATCAATTACGATGCAAAATTGTTTTTTGTTTTTTTTTTTTTTAGGGGGGGCGGGGGGATGATACACTCCGCGCCATGCGTTACTGGTCCCTGCCATGTATTCTCACAGGCTATCTTGTCGAGGTTTTTCTTTCCACAATCTTGGACATAAATGTTGACAATTTTTACGCAAACAAAACATTTCTGACACTCTTCGTCGGCAAAGCATTCCTCCTGCCATCCCCTTCCCCCAATACAATGTTGTGTGGCTTTCTTTTCATTGCCTGTCTATCCATTAACACCTGTATGCAACATTGATGCGGGAGGGAAGAGGAATATTTTCAGTTCATGCACACGATACAGTATCTGTAATGACCAAACGAAAAATTGTCAAGTATAATTGTCAAGATTGTAGCCTTGATGTGGACGTTGTGGTACGCTAAGTCTAAACAGATATTTCCAGATACCATCCAAAACAGGGATAGCTTTTGAGCCCACGGTGGGCCTCGTGGTCCATTCTTGAAGGCTGTCAACTTCAGTACTTGAGGTGTGTTTCGGCCGAGGAGAAGGTGGACACTTGCATCAGGGTTTAACACTGGTAACTCCGCTGCAATGGATTTCAAATGAGGGAATCTTCCCTACATTTCTAGTTTTGGTATTTCTTGTTTGTTTGTTGCTTGACGTGTGACGCCACGTTCGGTTGATTTTTGTAACGATATCAAGTAGTAACGCAATCTTATGTAATGCATGCTAATCAGTATATCACGTATACAGTCATTTTACAATTATGGCATACTGAATTCTTTCTTTTCTATAGAAGAGCGCATTGCCATTTCTGATACCTTCCTGTCTTATCGAACTTCATTGGAAGAGCTGCAAGTGAACAGCAAGGAATATCTTACCACAGGAAAGASCTCCGTTTGAGTCGCATTTTTACTGTGCAATTCGTGTTGATGGGTCTGCGTGCGTCTTAGGGTTTTCTTTATGCAATAGCGCAATGTGACCCTTATCACCACAGACTTCACACGATATGTTTGCACTACAGATTTTTGCATTATGTTTGTTGGAAAAGCACACAAAACACAAGCCAGCCTTCTTTACGAACTCAGTTTTTTTATTTTAGACTCTTAGACATAAGGGCCTTGCAATAGGCGGAAGTTGCAACTCTTACTCCGTTTGTTTATAGGATGCGTATTTGGCTGCGCTTCTGGGCTGACAAATTTTGTAGCTAACGCTTTTCTTTGTGGCTCCGGCTTCCTTTTAAATTTTKGTCTCTCTTTTGGATGGTTTCTCATGATGGATTGTTTTTCGACTATTTTCGCTAAATTGTGGAACTTGGTATAGGCGTCATTATTTTCTTCCACAAAGTTAGCGACCTCTTTATCGCTAATTGTTAACTCTATTTGGATTCTGCAGAAAGTTTTCAGTTTTTATCATGACGTTCACGCCTGGAGAAGCGCAACGTGTGGTAGATAATACACCACTTTGCTAATGCCATACTCCCTTTGCATGACGGGATTGATTGTGTAGTTACCAGCCCACTTAGGGGGCAAACAAGAACTCGGCCACAAAAGCTCCATAGTAAATATACATACCGCAAGAAAAAAACAATAATAACCCTTGCCAAMCTTGGGTGTGCCTGAAAAAAAGTGATGGGTACGTTACTGCAGAATGTTCATGTCTGGCAGGGTGAGACACTGAATTTATCTACATGATATTATGCATCTATCTTTGTTTATCCCTTCAATTCAGTTTACACATCATGCATTGGTGATCGTAATGATGGTATCAGATGATAAGTAATAAGTAAAAATGATGGTGATATGATGTACTCTCCATACGTCATGTTATAACCGTACCTCCCCTCCCCCCCTCCTCCATTCCAAAACCAGCCTCCAGACCTGTGATAATTCATAATTTACAATTCATAATTTATGAAATATTTTTAACAAAATGTTTTTTATTAGGATAGCAGAAGTGTGCAAGCATATTGGTGATTTACTATACCATATATCATCAGAGGTTAGGAAAGGAAATAACAAGACTTGCACATCCAAGCAACAGGCATGGGGTGCCCCATCTCTTAAATCATGTAAAAGATATTCAGCGACTCCTTTAAATAACATTCCACTAAAAAAGTGGYAAACATTAGCTGTTCTACCTAGGAAAACAGTCACCGGTGGTAGGTCAGAATATGATCCAAGAGCTTTGGATGACCGACAACCCATGACTTTTACTAAAACATACCTTCAAAAACTTGATGTGGCTTGTAATGGGAAATGTACCCTGCTACTATATAACAACAATTTGTGGGATGATTTAAATCCTTCTGACTCTATCAATGTTGTAAGACAGGAAGTGATTTCCCCTGAAAAAGTTATTGACGAGCCATTGCCAATCACCAGGCTTGCTGAACAAATTGCAGACCAAATGCCTTTAAATTCATGAATAGAGAAAATGTCTGAATTTCATAGTAAACTTCATTTGACTTCTGCACAACAACAAATTTGAACACTATCGATGGGTCAGTCAGCAACATTAGAATAGTCTAAGTTCAGAACAGGCTTAATTGCAGCTGCAAAGTTGCTTCCTGTGCTGCGTAAATATGACAATGAAATGAAAGTCAAACACGAAGGAGCTGCAAGAAATCTCACTGYTGACATTCTGCAATACAAACCACATGTATCAACTAAGGCAATGCAATGGGGAATTAGCAATGAGTCTGTTGCTAGAGAGAAGTACAGAAGAGTAATGATGCCAAAGCACAAGCATTTTAAAGTAAAGGAAACTGGTTTGATAGTATCTACAGAAAACCCATTCCTAGGGGCAAGCCCAGATGCATTGGTGAGCTGTTCATGCTGTGGCCAGGGTGTTGCTGAATTTAAAGTTCCATGGACTTTAAGAGATAAGTCACTCATTGAACTATCAAAGACAAAAGGAACACGTTTAGAGTCAACTAGTGGACATGCAAGACTGCATGAATACTTCTACCAAGTACAAACGCAACTTGCAATCASAAATGCTGCTATTGTGACTTTTTTGTATTAACTTCTGTTGATTATCATCTGGAGAGAATCAAATTGGATACAGATCTGTGGCAATCTGCACTTGCAAAACTAAGAGCATTTTATGATGACTTCATTCTTCCTGAACTGTTTGGACAAAAACTGTTAGCTCAGGTAATTGTCAAACACATTTTGAATGAACTAATTAATAGAAGCATAAATTCATAATTACTTGATAATTATTATATAAACAAGAGTACAAATTCTAAAAGCATAAACAATGAAACCCTAGTTTCTTTAAGAAGGCATGTATATATGAACAATAACCAGTTGTTWTCACCAATGTTGTACATTAAATTTATTTATAATATTCATTAATAATTCATGAGTTACACAGCCATTCAGTGACCGTCATCCCTTGTATTCACCAATACAAACTTAAAGTGCAGGGAGGGCTTGAATTCAGAGCAGGGAAAGGGTGGGGTGAGGAATAATAACAAGAGAGAATGAGATCTATTAGTATGTTAGAAAAAATACRGAATATCTGAGAATGTTTGCCATTTCAACTTGTTACATTCAATTTGTGCTCCTCTTACATTTTTTATTCTGAATCCTAAAGGGCCTACAGTATGACTATACACTWGATCAAGCATTAGCACTGTACAATAAGTGGTGGTAACAAGTTTGATAACCCAGAACAGATTACAAATATGTTATCCATTGTKTCCAGTGAAGTGACTGGCACAACGGACTGGAAGATTCTGAATCTCTTTACTCTTTGTATGGCCCTCTCAACATGTATGCRRGCTTTAGCAATAGCTTGACCTTAATTGACYTTTTCCTTTGTGAATTGTTTTTGTCCTTTTGTAAATGGGGGCATGATAATATTTACTTMTTTGAATAAGATCAGATCTTGTACATTAAATCCTCTATCAACCATACATGCAGATTTATTCTCAAATTTGTCAATAATTCCACAATGATTAAATACATATCTGTCTGATGCTAGACCACAAGCACAAAAAACAAGCACAAAACAAACAAACAAATCGCCTATCACTCAAGTAGACATGATATACATTTATAATATTTATAATATAGAAAGAACAAAAGTTTAGATTGCACAGTGGTTTATATGTTGTGTTTCAAGAAATATTTTCAAATAATTAGGAGTTATTGATTATTATCATGGAATATACAAAAACAATGCAGCAATATTTACAAAATAAAACAAATCTTACTAGATATTTTGCTGTGTTGTGACTTTTGTAGGTGGAGTAGGTAAGTGCTTGGGCCTCTGCTAGTGATGGTCTTTGGATGTAAATTTCAGTGCAATCTATGATAGAGCAGACATCTTTGAAGGGTTTAAATGCAACAGGATAAACTTTGTTTACATCATCAATTGTAGGCTGTTGTGGTTTGAAGTTAAGCTTTATTTAACTAAAGCGAGTATACATGAATGAAAAGATGGCTGACTGAAAACGCACGAGGCACGGGCTGACATGCGCAATCATGACATACATATATGACCGGAAATAACACACTGGAAGTAAAACTATAACATCCCCCTTACTAAAGAAAAAAAAACATGTTACAATTATATATGAATAAAAAGCATAATTGAGGGTGAAAGCAAAATGTCCTTAACAAGTCACGTTGTACAGTAAATGTATAGCAAACATGCTATAAGTTCAGTTTATCAGGTGGCTTCACTAGACGAGTGGATCTTCGGACAGGTGGAGTGGGTGGTGTTATATCCTTGGGCTTGATAGGGCTGCTTGGTGTAGGTTGCTCCTGTTTTATGTTAGGTTTGTTGTCCGCTGCTAGATCGTCAGATGTCGTCGGTGTTGGCAACGCTGGAATATTAGGTTTGACTGTTTCACCAGYAGGTCGGCGTATGTGTCTACGGTTTCTCGTTAAGATCCCGCCTCTGCTCATATTGACGGTGTAAGAACGACGTGTTGTTATGGTAGCTTGAACAGTCCCTGCTTCCCACTTAGAGTTGAGAGGGTTGAACACTCTGACTGCATCCTGTGGGTAGACCGGTGGTAGCGCTCTCGAAGTCTGGTCATAGTGGTACTTCTGACGATCCTGTTTGTGCTGTAGCTTCGTGTTAGCATCATAGTCATGTCTGTCAGACATAGCATGCTTGGATATGGCTGGAAGATTTGACTGGTATCTTCTAGAGTTTAGCAGTTCTGCAGGCGATGGAAGGTTRTGGTCTAGTGGAGTTGTGCGAAGACACAGCATTGCAAGGTGTGGATCTACACCTGATTCCTTGCATTTTTGTAACAAATTCTTAACAGTCTGTACAGTTTGCTCTATAAAGCCGTTGGATTGCTTGTAGTATGGGCTTGTAGTAACATGAGCAAAACCATACGCACAGCTAAAATCTTTGAATAAAGCGGAGGTAAAYTGCGTGTCATGTCCTGTGACAAGTTTGTCTGGGATCCCATGTTCTTCAAATATACCTTTAAGGTGTGCGATGACAGTAGATGATTGAATGTTGTTCAGCTTGCGCACAATGGGAAATTTGCTGTAGTCAGAGATGAGTAGATATGGTGAACCATTCCAAAAGAACAGATCAGATCCTAAAGTATGCCAAGGCTTGGATGGAATATCGTGAGGCATAAGCGGTTCCTTAGTATTCATAGGCTGATTGTGTTGACATGCTTTGACCATGTTTTCAATGTCGGTATTTATATTTGACCAGAATACTGATCCTTTGGCTCTAAGTTTGCATTTCTCAGAACCCTGGTGAGCATAGTGGAGTTGCTGAAGAACTTCTGATTGCAGGTTCTTGGGGATCACAATGCGTGTACCCTTAAGTAYTAGTCCATCGGCGACAGTAAGTTCATCTCGATAGTTCCAGTATGGGTGTAGGGTTGCAGGACATTCAGGCCATCCTTGAGAAATGACTGCACGAAGTGTGTGGAGTTCGGTGTCATTCATGGTTTCTTCTTGGATATGTTTTATCCTTGTTGGGGTAGCGTTGAGGTGACGGTGTAGCTCGTGTATCGAAACATTGAGGCCGGAGATTGCATCACCGTGACATGGGTTAAGTCGTGAGAGTGCATCAGCAAGAGGTATATCCTTACCAGGGACATATTTGATTTCAACATCATATTTTTGGATTCGGAGCATCATCTGCGCAATACGGGGTGGCGCACTTGATAGATGTTTTTTGAAAATTGCTTCCAGCGGTTTGTGGTCTGTTTGGACAAYYACGTGACGWCCATACACATAGTAGTGAAACTTCTCTAGGCCATGAACTATTGGAAGCATTTCTCTCTCTATGTTAGAGTATCTTCTTTCAGTCTCTGTGAGGAGTTTGCTTCTGTGTTCGACTGGTCCTTTCTCTTGAAGAAGTGTAGCGCCAATCTACAAGGCCACGTTGAGATGCGTCTACCTGGACAATCACTGGTTTTGTTCCGTCGAAATATTGGAGTGAAGCTGGGGATACGATAAGCTTCTTTATCTCTTGTACTACTTTCTGGTGTTCAGGTCCCCATCCTGAATTCACTGGTTTTCTTGGTCAAGTCCCAAGGACTGCGGCTGTAGAAGCAAGGTTTGGTATAAATCGGCTAAGGTATTGTGTCATACCTAGGAATGTCTGAAGGTCAACTAGACTTCCTGAAGGATCCATGTTGTCAATGGCTTTGATTTTGCTTGGGTCGAGCTTTAGACCGTCAGCACWGAGAGTGTGACCAAAGAAAACAAGTTCCTTGCTGGCAAATTTGCACTTGTCAGCGTTGAATTTTAGACCAGTTTCACGAGCACGTTCCATTATAGCCTTGAAATGACTCTTTTTTTGGAGTTGAAACTACTCGTTTATGATAGGAGTTTAAACTACTCCTTTATGATAGGAGTCGAATTGACTCGCAAATATTTAGAGTGAAAATGACTCCTTGCCAGCRAGTATAAATCAGGTATAATCCGAGAAAACATAATTTCTTAAAAGCGTAGTTTTACTAATATCTAATCCTTTTTGCTGGCAGGAGTTACTAACACTCCTATATCTGCTGGAAAATGTACATACAACATGCGCAATTATAAGGTGCATGAATATCTTTAATAAACCAATCAAAGTAATGCACACATAAAATTACATAGTCGTTATAATTTTGKCTTATACGTTTCCAGCTTCCTCGTTTAGTGCCGTCAGAAGTTTTGAAACAAGAACTCTTGACTTTGCCGGCTCTTGGTTTTTGAGGCATAAAAAATGCATATGTGTTCTTACATGGTTTTGGATACTTAACATTAAACACATAAAACGATGCCATTAAAAAAAATACCGCTTCGACAATGCTTTTAATACAAAGAGGACCACAAATAATTGGCTTCTCCATACAAATATAGACTGTGTCAAGGCTTAGTACAGACTCTCCAGATGCAACAATTCTCGGGCTTGTACTATTTTCGATGTAATCATCGATGTYATCTTCAGTGGGCTATAAAATGAAATGACATGTTAGTATTATTATAGAACATACATTTTGTCGCTATTTGTTTCTGACACATGAAATACTTACGTCGATTAACTTGAAAAAGTCGTCCGCAATCTTGTCCTTTAAAACAAMTGGTAGGATGGTTATCGAGGATTGTTGTATTTCTGAAAATAGAAATATTACAATTATTCTCATCACATTTTGAAGTCATCCGCCTCATTAAAAATACTCTTTAAAAAAACGCATGGAAAATCGAAGAAATAGTATTCMAATTTTTGAGTTCAACCGAGCAGATTTATTTGTCCRCACTTCCAGTATGAGCAAAAAGCTTACAACAAAAACAAAACAAAGCTCGAAGAAACGTCTTGAAATTGTACATTTTCTCCAAATTGAAACTAACCCTGTATTCAAACAAAACTACTTACCGGTTTGCAGGTCAAGTCTCAACTCAGAGAAAATGAAACTTATTAATTGTAATTACAAATTCTTGCGCTTAATTTTTTGCTTTTAGTCAAATTCAGTATTTTTTAAAAGCCTGGCCMAATATAAGAATTGTGGCAACAGCTTTGGAAAAACATGATAGTTTCCATTGTTTTTTCAACTTTAGATCTTACCTTTTTGATTTCCAGGAAAATGTTTTTCTAGTTTCTGAAAATGACATAAGTATCGGAACGACTGAGGACACTTATTTACCAAATACGTATGGAATTTCGGGGCCCAATCTGTTTTAAAGCTATCGACGAAACTTGGGAAATTGTCGTCCTTCWTTAGGCGCGTGAATTCCCGTCTTAACTACGAACAAAAGTGACAAATGACAATAGTTGTTTGTTTAGTTCTTCGTTGTCAGTGATGATGCGTCTCAGTCTAAGTGCTTGACCGTAGATAGTACCTGACTTACACTGCTTAGGGTGGTGAGAAGTATAGTGTATAAGCAAGCTGCTATCTGTAGGTTTGATATATACGGTTGATTCCAGTCTTCTATCTGCCGTGACATAGATCGTGGTGTCCAGGAAGTTTATAGATGTTGGTGAGACAGAAGACTGGAATTTGATGGTGGAGTGGAAGTTATTGAGGTGCTCTAAGAAGTGGTCTAATGTGTTTCTGCCGTGTGTCCAAATAATAAAGATATCGTCAATGTACCTTTTCCAGATAAGTGGTTGTAAGTTATTAGGTGTTTCTGAAAGGAATTTTTGTTCTAATTGATTCAAGAAAATATTTGCAAATGATGGGGCCATTTTGGTGCCCATTGTAAATAGAACTGTTTGTTGAAGGAAAAATAATTATGTTTGAGAATGAAATCAAAGAATTTGTGGAAAACCTCCAAAGGGGGTCTGGACTGGTAGGGTAACAG